TCGTGTGCTTGCTCACCGTACGCTTGTGGATTATTATTATTCATTAACAATAAACTATCTCTATAACTGGTGTTCAGGCTTTTTAATAATCTCGAGTAAATTCGCAATTCTACTAGGAGATTAAGCCTACCTAAAATACTCAGTTACGGGATATTATTATTTGGAGTCAGATATTGAGGAAATTATCCTCAAAATATCCAATTAAGTTGATGGTTTGATCTGTTGTTTCGCCTAATATCTTAATGGAAATAAACGGTTGTAGTAGTGTGTATAAATGATCAGGCATAAACAACAGATGTATCTGTATGGAAAATAGGTGAATCGCAGATATCGTGGATGCTGTTCAAAATTCCCATTTTGAACTAATCCACCACATAATACGACACATCACCTAAGAGCCATGTATTTTGTCCTTGGTTTTAGTGGTTAGTTGAAGTGGTCACCGTCTGTCATTTGATTTTCCTTCAGATACATGTTCTTCATTTATAGTCTATTTCGCTCGTCTGTGTTCAACAGAAAACTTAAGATAATTTGTGCTACGATAAACTTTTGATGTAACGTGTTCGACCTGCCTACATCTTATCAGTCCATATATGCACTTCATGACTTCGTTCAACATAAGTGTGTCTTGTGTAAGATGTCAGATCATGAGCATATTTTAGCATCATTAAACCGTCAGCTCAGAAGCACTTACAAATCTTCTGGTTTTGATAGAGCAGCAATTACCGTGTTTTTTATGTGATGAAATACTTTTACTTTACTGGGTTATTAAATGACATTATCGTTCATGATGATAACTGTTAGGATCGCTTCGAGAAACACAATGAACCCTCCAGAGGCTCGAAGGGAACCGAATAACCTGATAGAGCCTTTTGTAATGTCAACGTGGCACGCTGCCATTGGACAGTAGCATAGCTCGCCTTCTTGCGGTTGGCCGGATTATAATAATGTTATAGCCAATACTAATAATCATAAATGCCCATGTCTTTCTGTACATTTTTGTGTCTCACCTAATAATCACTCTCCTTGCTTCTTCCGTCTTTGGTTTTCGATTGTAGCGTTCTACACGTTCGATTACCGTTAGTTGTAAGTCGTATTCTGCCGTAGTCAACTAGAGGATGTGACAACAACTACATTTTTCTACTCAGTATCACTATTTTTGGGAAAGTAAAGAAAATTCATACGGAAATTTTACTGATCCTTAGGATATGATTCAGTCTGTATTTCGAAGGCATATCTGTCTTTAATTTTAATTAATGTAGCTTACGCAGTTCTAACAATCGAACATCTATCATAGTTGGTTTGTGATTTGGTTTATGATAGCAAATGAAATCATCTGAAAATTATACACATTCATGAACGTTGATCGCCTATCACAAATTACTACTGCATCAAAACAAGCATCTGTCTTGTTCTGCCGAATTATTTCAAAAGTCAATTCATCTCTACACAACTGTGCCTCACCATGTAAACTCTCCTTGTTTGTATGTCGCTCTAGTTTATTTAACTAGGTAGAAAATGAGTTTGGGACAAAGATGATCACATCCTACACAATTGTCGATATGTTCTCTGAAAGTGAACTGATTATTACTTAGTCCAGAAAATAAGCACAATATTCAATTACTTTGATATCCACAAACTCTCTCTTTCTCTCTAGTAGTCTATTGTGAATGTTTAAGATAATGGTAAACAAAACACTTCACTGATTAGAATATCGAGTTTATGTGCAATACAGATCTTTCAGTTCTATTTGTCTATCTTTTGAAATTCTAAAAGATTAGAATGCACTCCATCATAATCCAACGATCACTTAAACGAAATAGGTTAAGAAACATATCGACTGATTGAAATTCACTACTCACTACTCAATGAACAAAGCATTTTATGAAATAAATACATTTTAAAAGAACAGGTTAACATGTTTTCAATCTGGTTATAATAATAAATGATCACCATAAATGACATTAGACAATCCCATCTCATGATTATTCATTTGCACATATTATTAAGGAAATAATTGTGAAAGAAAGAAGTTAGCTCGATGTTAAAATATAAAACGCAAAATTAACAGGAAGACGTTTTTCCAAAAGAAATAAAACAGTTTTACAACATACAGACTCTATCTGCATGTATGTGTACATATCACAATAATGTAAAACAATGAATTTGTCCTTGTCTATCACCGGCAAGAATTTTCAATTGACTATCACCATCAAGAGTATAAAGTTGAGTGATTTCTGTCTCAACTGGATACATAGCAACCTTTAGAGAAAAAGTGATATTCATCATTGAAAAAATTGAACACATTCAATACAGTAACTTGAATTAATACATTTGACTATTGAAACAGGAAAATTAAGTGAAATAGAAAGTACGGCTGGTCATCACACATTCCATACATGTTGACTGACTTATAAACGTGACATCGATTCATGAAGTCACTTACACAATTAATCTGAAACAGGTTGATAGCTGCAGACTATATAGTTTGGGTTCACGTGTTTATATTGACCAATGGTTGAAGATATTCGATATGGGTTAGAATCAGTCGCTATGGTCAAGATGCATTCACGTTTTCCTGACTTTAATTACAAAAACCGTCTTATACTTTTCTATACCGCGAACTTATTCATTCTCATTGACTGGTTGACTAAAAGATTTCAATAATAAAGAAAACCATCGTTGCAAAATAAAAGAGTGGGTAAAGTCGAACAATTTTGAGCATGAGACAATCTACTATTCACTGATAGTGTCGACTTGAAATCGTGAACAAATGAACATGAATTCAATAATCAAAACATATTGAATTCAATGTGAAATCCAAAGCTATTTTGTGCCCGATGATCTGACTCCATTTAGATTGTATGGATGTTTGTTATCGCCTTTTCTCGTGTATCATCGTCGACTTAAATCGCGTTATCCAATAACGAAATTAAATAAGTCGAATAACGAGAATTGACTTGAGAATACATATATTTCGTACATGAAGCGAATAAAACATAGCAAAGCAAAAATGACACGTATGGAAGATGGCTGGGAAGCCAACTCCATTTCAAGCCGGGCATTACTCAATGTTTATAGGCAGACAAAATAAACTACAGACATGTGATGAGTCATGGGACATGAGGTGTACACACATATACGCTCATATGAAAACAGTCAAGGCTAATAAGCGAATAATTAACAAGGTCAAAACATGACTCAAGTAGAATGAATAGAATGGAATGTCCGGAAACTAGAATAAGATATATTATGGGCTAAAACTAATGACTAGCACTACAGCTACACAACATCACTCCATGATGTAAGATTGTTGAAGGGACCTGATATAATACTAAACAGCTTTGAAGGGTTCCCTAGATTCCTTTTTTGTATATTCTTCACTTGACGATTAATAGGTAATGGAAGCTAATTGCAAATTAGTTACTATCAGAATATAATAAAGCAAGCTATTTTAATGTGTGATAAATTAATACACTCGGTTTAAATAATCTGTACAATTGATAATTTAGTGAACAAAAGTAGATCACCTTTATTTGTATTGATTATATTATAGTACTAATACTGAAATGTACCATCTGAACTCTGTTACAACTTGAAATCAACACAACCCATTAGTAGGGCTCAATTCTTAATGTAAACATCAACACTGGAATGCGGGTACATTCAGATGGAGAGTCCTGAAGATTTACACAAGACAAGCCTCTTCAGATTTACCAACTAAATACATCTCACATAGCAAGTATACTCAGCACAATCTACTTGAATATATTAGGTCACTGAAAAGGTTTAATCTTTCATTGGCACATTACTATGTAAACAGGAGGAAATTATGTAGCCATAATGATGAGCAATGTAATTTAATCTGTCCTCAAAACTTCAGTCGATTATCAATTTCGAATATCTGAAACTTATGACTGAGAGCGTTTCAGGGTTGATCTCCAACCATTCAAACTTAATAAATGCCGATTGAATGACTTTATGAACACATGAGGCAGTTGTCAAACCATGATAGTTTAAACTATACTAAAACAACATTTGTCCAGGTAACGAAAGTGATCAAAATTATCCCGTAGCTAATTCACATCGTCCATTGACATTAATCGAAAAAAATCAAATTTATAAATCATCGTTAGGTAATAACTGCTTAATCAAACAAGATGTTAACAGTAATAAAATGAATCAATGTTTATTGATGATTTGGAAAGTAACTGAAAACAACTGGGAAGGATTGTCCAGGACAGAGTTGGATGGAGGATGCTGATGAGTGTCCGACGCTTTACGAGCGGCGTAACAGGAACAAGTAAGTAAGTAACACGATTAAACCGTGCTCATTTCGTCGCAAAATCATAAGTATGATCGGAATCGTCACTGCACAAAGTGAATATATTCCTTCGAGAAATATTGTTTGAAAAAAGTTATGACGGCGATACAAAAAACACTACCCAAAATCACCAAGCACTAGGTACTAGTTTTGTTTCACATACAAAACTCCTCAGTATTGCACAAACTGCTACTTCTCACCACCACAATAGTTTTCACCAAGTTCCCTAACTCACATTATTTCATGATGAAATTGTTGCAAAACACAATGGTAATAAGTTAAACCAACCAAACACAGAAACACATTATTTAAAAAAAGACCAAATAAGAAAAGAAAGCAAGAGTGAGAAGTTAGAAAAATACCAGTTTAGTTATCACTGTGTAAACATGAACTAATGGAAGAACTACAATTCTAGAATTACATAATCAATAACTCATGCAAACAACCGGATATTCAATTCAACTTATGAAGGCAAACATGGACATGAGTAATTACATATTTTCAATAGGGTTACATTGATTCATTGCATTGTCAACTGACAAATTAACCAAAATAACTAACTGTGCCTAACAACATTCAACAACATTCATTCATTCATTCATTTGTACAGATAGGTGAAGATTATATGCACAAAATGAACATATTTACTAGTTGGCTTTTTCCATACCAGTCTTACCTGTTTCCACTGTTTTGAATTCACCACTGTGATTGGATTGTTTATTGCACATCCTAGAACACGTAAAATATTATCTGATGTTGCAATTATAAGATAGATCAATGTTGAACTATTGTCTTCAGTTGGTGATAGTAACTTCGCACAATATCCAGTAACTTTTATTGATGAATTATCAAGCTATTCCAAGGAGAAAAGAAAGTATTCACCATGATGTCGGTAGTTCTACACTTTGCATCGGATTGAATAAAACGTACAAATATTGACTAAAGGATTAGAATATTATTAATAATAATAAGAAGAAGAAATACGCCACAGAAATCGAGAGCCAACACCAGACATATTATCAACAATGTTTACATTTGTACAACGTAAACAATATATTAGGCATAAAAAATCACTGTAAAATCTGTCACCAAATCACCATTTTCATTACAAATCAGAATTTTCCAACAATTGATAAGATGACATTCAGCCAAATACAATCTGAATGAAAAAGAAACACAAAGGACAACTACCATTAAACATTCACATTACAAGTATCAGTGATTGTAGGTCAAAGAACTCAACACACAGGTGATAGTGAGATATACACAACTCGAAACAAAGTGACGATTTTCTGGAGCACTAATTTAGACAAATAAAACAACATTGATCTACCACCTATAATTGGACGACAACAGATTTTCTATATGTTATCTGTTGCATACTGCTCTCTGAAATAAGTTACTTTAAATCACAGTATATATTAAAATGTTGGTTGATTGAAGGGAATGTGTAGAAGATCAATGTATCTATGTGATAAGTCTTTTCACCGAACGCCTCGATCAAATAACCTAGCCGCTTCTAATAGCCTTGCACTAAATCGACACAGAGACTTGAACACAAGAGAAAATGTGTAAAGTGCAAAGGCAGGTTTTACTCAAAGGTTACGGTATGTGCAGAAAATCGTCAGTATTCATATTAATTGGAGTGACTCTGATCGCTCAGATGCATACTAAATACAACAATAATAAAAAGGTAATTATCCAGTCGAAAATTGCACATGTGATCTGTCGACCATCTAGATGTTTAAAAAAAGTAGGATTTAATTTGTCCTACAGATATACTATTGGAACCGTAAACGCGATACTGACGATCACAGAGTCTATATGAAATCTATAGTCAGAACACAGACAACTTGGCCTCAAACTTTATCGGTTTCTGAACGTAAAAACAATCAGATCAGTACAATAATTAAGAAAATTACAGTTATTAAGTGAAACGCACAAACATACCGACCAGCATTGCGCGTCTTATCGAAATGAATAAAATTATGAGTCACACTAATTTAATAGGGTAATAATGTCTTTCAATTGGTAAGTCACATGCAACAAGGATAGTTTACAGACACGTCAGACCAGATCAACGTGGTGGGTGCTTAAACAACGACTCTATTGGTTAGTTATGGACATAACTAACATCCCCCAAGCGGACACCACGTCCAGACTTCGTTACCGTCGTGCTCAAATAATCGGCCTCTTCCAGTAGACACAGGTTCCGTATGTCCCGGCTGATCTGTTCTGTTACTGTCTTCAGTCGAACAGTTCTGACTCATCCATCTGGACCATAATTGACCTGTCTAACTATAGCTTTCGTCCACAGATTTCTCGGTGATTGTTGTGGATGCGCAGGAATAGACCAATAATTATCATGTTAAGTCCAATGGTGTCCTTGGACTTTAAATGTTCATCTCCTATTGGTCGATATCTGTTCACTTGTACAAAATGTTGTTTTCTATTTTTATGGTACGCTGTGGTATGCTTGACTGGTATATAAACAAAGTATGTTTGAAATATAGTGATTCATATCTCAGAGGTTGTGACTTGTCTTCTGGACTCAACTGGCTGGGCTGGACAGCGAAGCAGGACCAATCAGAACCCTTGGTCGTCCTACGTGTTTGTGCGTCTTTGGTCCGATCAATAATTCGCTCCCCCTTAATCCGCAGCATTATTTTTCACAGTCATAACAATTGGCGACGGGGATTTTGGCAACAAAGAAATAATAATAATACAAGTGGTGACTCAGATTTTGTAAATAAATTAGCTGTATAATTGCCGGTGATTTTTGGAGCTAATATTATTGGCAAAAAAAATGTCGATTTCTTTCGAAGAGTTGCGGTTAATATTACAGCACCAGCAGAAGATGTTTGCCTTGCAACAACAGCTATTTGTAACAGTTTTGGGCAGACTTTGCATTCAAGCAGAAAATAAGAAATCTATATATCATGCAGATAATGGTGCAGTAATGGACATTTCAGAAGCATATCCTGTGCAGGATTCAAATCCCTCTATACCAGAAGGAAAACGTAATATTGGTAACGTGTCCAGCTCAGAGCAAGAAAATATTGTGCTAAATGCACATGAAGTTGTGACAATACCAGATGATCAGGAGCCAGATCCTGTAGATGATGCCCAGAGTCGAGAATCAAATGAAACACTACTGGTACTGTCTAGCTGCGAAAATAAACGTCAGCTCGAACAAAATTGTGGTCCACGTGCTATTAGTCGAGGAAGCTATGGTGACTCGTATTCAGAAAATAACTGGAGCAACACGATGAACCAAATTGTACCAGATGTTACTCAAAATCACCGGAAGACAGAATTCTATATTGAGTCAACTTATCCCATTTCTAATGACAGTGTACCAGATATTGATTCTCAGAATAATGCATATGATTTTGATGAAACTTCTTATAACAATGAGGGAAATATGTCAGCTGAGTCGAATGATGGCCAAAAATCTAATTTAATTCTGTTAGACGTTGACTTTCTTAATGACTCGTTATCTGCTAACGAGATTCATAATGAATTTGAAAATAATGAACTCAAATCAAAGGTCGTTCATCATCATCTAGTCATTTTTAGTGGATTCTCCAGTCAATACGAGAAACATGGTTTAAATAAAGTCCTACTAGTTGTAATTTGGAGCCATAAGGACCCAACATTATTTCGAGGAGGAGGAGAATGTTGAGAAATTTAAAGTCACATATAATTCTTTTTTTAAATCAGAATCTAAAGTTGGAATTTTCAAAAAAAAAAGGGGGAGGTGTTATATCCGAGTGGAGATTAAATTACAGGTAACTTCCGAGGACTATTCATGGACTAATATTCTATAAATATTCTTATTGTATAACTATTCAACAATTACATTATGTATATTTATATCCCTTTTATGACAAGCTTTATTTTGGCCTATAATTTATTATTGTACGATTTACGGTTCTTAAGTTATGTTCAGTTTATTAACCACTGCCTCCCTCATTCACAGCCACTTTTTGGGCTTATTTGTGTACAAATATTATTTCCTATTTTATGGTACGTTGCGGTCTGTGTGATTGATATATAAATCAAGTATGCCTGAAATAAACGATCTGCTCTGATTCGGAAGCTGGTATCTTGTTCTGGACTCAAGTGGAAGGGCTCGTAGGACATAGGACCAATAAGGACGCTAAACTGCCCACACAGCTTGAACGTCATTGGTTGCCCTAGTGTGAAGATTCGTATAAGTCGCATCCGGATTGGTAGATAAATCGTGCGATAGAAAAACCAGACATACAAAGCCATAACAATTGGCGACGGGGATTTTGGCAAAAACAAAATAATTGGGAGACGCAAGGTCATAACAGTGATCCAATATTATTTATCAATAATTTCGAGAGAACGCATAAAAATGAGTTAGTAGTTATTTTTAGTTACAGATGTTCTTCAATCGTAGGAATATTGCCATTGCTTTGACAATCCGAGCCTTCACATCTAAGCCAGATCCCCATTGTTTATCAATGATGCATGTAGTCAGTAGTTATCCTGATGAAGACATTTATTCTGGTTGATAAAATTCTAACTTTTCAAATCATCAATAAACATTGATTCATTTTATTACTGTTAACATCTTGTTTGATTAAGCAGTTATTACCTAACGATGATTTATAAATTTGATTTTTTTCGATTAATGTCAATGGACAATGTGAATTAGCTACGGGATAATTTTGATCACTTTCGTTACCTGGACAAATGTTGTTTTAGTATAGTTTAAACTATCATGGTTTGACAACTGCCTCATGTGTTCATAAAGTCATTCAATCGGCATTTATTAAGTTTGAATGGTTGGAGATCAACCCTGAAACGCTCTCAGTCATAAGTTTCAGATATTCGAAATTGATAATCGACTGAAGTTTTGAGGACAGATTAAATTACATTGCTCATCATTATGGCTACATAATTTCCTCCTGTTTACATAGTAATGTGCCAATGAAAGATTAAACCTTTTCAGTGACCTAATATATTCAAGTAGATTGTGCTGAGTATACTTGCTATGTGAGATGTATTTAGTTGGTAAATCTGAAGAGGCTTGTCTTGTGTAAATCTTCAGGACTCGCCATCTGAATGTACCCGCATTCCAGTGTTGATGTTTACATTAAGAATTGAGCCCTACTAATGGGTTGTGTTGATTTCAAGTTGTAACAGAGTTCAGATGGTACATTTCAGTATTAGTACTATAATATAATCAATACAAATAAAGGTGATCTACTTTTGTTCACTAAATTATCAATTGTACAGATTATTTAAACCGAGTGTATTAATTTATCACACATTAAAATAGCTTGCTTTATTATATTCTGATAGTAACTAATTTGCAATTAGCTTCCATTACCTATTAATCGTCAAGTGAAGAATATACAAAAAAGGAATCTAGGGAACCCTTCAAAGCTGTTTAGTATTATATCAGGTCCCTTCAACAATCTTACATCATGGAGTGATGTTGTGTAGCTGTAGTGCTAGTCATTAGTTTTAGCCCATAATATATCTTATTCTAGTTTCCGGACATTCCATTCTATTCATTCTACTTGAGTCATGTTTTGACCTTGTTAATTATTCGCTTATTAGCCTTGACTGTTTTCATATGAGTGTAGATGTGTGTACACCTCATGTCCCATGACTCATCACATGTCTGTAGTTTATTTTGTCTGCCTATAAACATTGAGTAATGCCCGGCTTGAAATGGAGTTGGCTTCCCAGCCATCTTCCATACGTGTCATTTTTGCTTTGCTATGTTTTATTCGCTTCATGTACGAAATATATGTATTCTCAAGTCAATTCTCGTTATTCGACTTATTTAATTTCGTTATTGGATAACGCGAT